TGAGGCAGACTGCGAAAAGTCGGCGATCAGACTTGCCTCAGGCTCTTTGGCAGTTTGGGGGGAGGGCAGAGCAGCGCGGCGACTGTTGCCGAAGATCTACCAAACGACGACGAAGATATCAGTCAGCAACGAAGCTGCTGCCCGTTCTTAACAAGGGAGGCAGACAGCGCGATGTCATTATAGCACGTCAGGTAAGGTCTCACGGGAATGATGTCGACAGTGGAAGTTCACAGTCGCAAATTCGAGCCTCAGAGGGAAAGAGCAGAAGCTGGTTAATGAGGCTGAAAAGTACTGACTCGATGAAGCTGGACTCTCGTCAACGAACGTGAGGGCACAGCCCAATCTGGCTGAAAGAATCAATGAATGGAATCCCGACAGCGAAATAGTGGCAGTCATCACCTGAAGTTGCAACAGGCTAAAGCGTTGACCTTGTTGTAGTTCTCTGTGCTCATTTCGGAGGGGAAAGTATGAGTCTTTTCTGTGTGAAGTAGAAGGTACTCTCTACGGTATTCATTATTCTGATTGGCGATTTCAATGCGTCTGCCGAAACAGACATTGAAAAGTAGAAAAGCATGATAGGAAAGAATGGCCCTAGTGACCTCAACAATAAATACATGAGGTTATGCGCTTTGTGCAAGCAACCTATTATCTTTATGAATATCTTGTTCGAGCTCATCGAAACGCGCATCACTATACCTAGTAAAGGGAAACTTGTGCACAGAAGTCATTGACCGATTCGATAATCATGTCGTCTGACTTATGGCGCTCTGTAATCGATGTTGGCGTTAGGAGAGGCTAGAGCTGTCGATCGACTGTCACCTTGTTTTTGGCTTCCTCCGCTGCAAACGATGGAAGAAGTCATAAACGTTGTAAAAGGCTTGAAAAGTGGCAAGACTGGTAGAATGAAATCGATGAAATCCCGCCCCCCCCCCCGAGGTGCGCCAAGTTTTAGTCGAACAAGGAATGCTTTGGCTAACCCTTATCTGTGAAATTTCAGTGACTAGAGAAGTGGACTGGTACCCTATTCAAGTATTGAGACCATCGGAAAGGCTCAAATTATTGGGGCATGACCTTAGTGAGTTCCCGGGAAAAGTCTACGCAGAGGTGTTGTAAGAGAGGCGCCGCGGAATAGTTGACTTTAAGATCCCAAAATAGCAGTGTGGCAGACGGTTAATAAATGGAGTTCGCTCATCAGATTTACATGGGCTTTGTGGACCTGTATAAGGCCTATGATCGTATCCTACGCAACAGTCTATCGGCATGCCCATCCGCAAACATGGGAATGATAGCCAGTTGCTACGAGCTATCTAGTTACTTCATGTTAGCAGGTGTTGCCTCAGAAGAGGTTGCGTCTAAAGTCGAAAGTCGTAGCATTTCTATGTCGGTACTGGTCTTCGTCAAATCTGAGTTCTGTCCCATCCCCTGTTTCTTTTGTACATGAAAGAATATTCAGACGCAGTCAGGGCGCTGAGAGTATTCGACGTATGAAATGTAGAGATATGAGAAGGTTGTTGTTTGCAGACAATCTTGTTTTACTGGCATCTTCTGAAACTGATCTGCAGTGCTCCCTGGAAATGTTCGCACCCGAGTGCGACGTGACCGGCATACCTGTGAATGCATCTAAAACGAAAAGCCTAGTGCTTTCTCGTTCTTCTGTCCATTGCTCTCTTCATATAAACAGCGAAGCCGTGGATCAGGTAGAGCAGTTCAAGTACCTTGAGGTCGGGTTTGCTGATGATCTAAATTGGAAGGATAAAATCGACATTCTGCGTGAACTGAACCGCTGAAGCTTAGCTGAATCTGAAAACTAAGTCCTTCGTTTTAAAGTCGATCTTCATCACGATGCTTACACGTGGTCATGAGTCGTACCCAACGAGGAACCCGAATTTGCATCCGTTGCTTCTGCAGGTCGAGGAATCACGAGTGCGATGGTTTGGGCACGTGTTGCGAATGCCTCCAGAGAAAAGGCGTCAGGTACTACTTGCTGAATCGACCAGTTGAAGACCGAAGGGCAGTCTGGACAAAATAACCCTGGGCAAATTCTCGGGGAACTGTGCTCCAAATTCATGTTATCTGCTGCCGAAGCTCAAATGGTGCCGCATAATCGCTAACGTTGGAAACACTGTCTAGCATATCTGCATCCGCTACCTGAAATGATAAACAGTGGTCGAAACTGAATGGCTGATATTTTGTTTGGCGAAATCGTAATGTACCGAAATATTACTAGTTGCGAGCAAGGTGTTTCTGTAGCTAGTAATTAATTCGAAATGCAAATATGGGGTGAACATATCCATACAAATAAAATGTGGTATATTGCGGAACTCACCTTTTTAAAGGGCCGTCTAGGCAACTATGAATAAGGGGTGGTGCCAAATGCCATGAAACCTGATTTCAAGGAGTTATGTACTGATTAACATGTTGAAGTTGTCTGAAATGCGGCATTCTAGCATGCTACCGTTAAAACGCGGCACACGCCTTTTGATTATCTGGACGACCGCAAATCACAACCGGTTTCCGTAGGATTATTTTCTACGGAGCCGTCGTAATAAGATATTATTGCCTTATTTTTAGACTGATGAGAATAGCTTCATGAATGTGCTGTTCTGGGTGTTTTGTAATTTTCTGCATTCAGCGCTTAATTTATGTTCGAGTTTCAAAATCGGTCGGCTAGTTTTCTGCTGGCTACCACATTCTGGTCGTTTCGTTTAAAACTAGCTCCGTAGGATCGTCGAATTTGTTTGTTTGCCATTTCGTCTGATTTGTCACTCAGCTCAGCTTTATATCACTGCTAATGGCAGCGTAGAGACACTTTTTTGAAATTTCACTTTTCTGTTATGTGTCATATTATGCACGAATTGTTTCCTTCGTCTAATTTTATCACCAAACATTCTGAGCTTAAATTTAACTGGTTCTTATGTCAGTGTACGTTCTTAATTCTCTGGTGGTTGCTGTTCCTTCAGCGTAACGCCATAATTGCAATTGCCATAATTTTTCTGTTCACGTGTAGCCGTAGAGACGTGCATAATTCTAACAGAGGAGCAGAATAGAACATGTCGCTGAAATTATTCTTCCTGCTAATCATCTACTGTTCCAAAGATAAACTGATAAAGAAATTTTACCTTACTTTCTTCGGAATCAGCACTGTATGGAATTGTATCCATCGCGTGAATAGAATGTCCTTTAAAACACAAGGATGTTTTTCAGCCAGGATAGCATCTTTTGGTATTAGAAAATTTGATCATATCGAATATCTTGTGTTTAAGCGCTTTAACGTTTGTTCAGAAGCCGTTGCTGTCAACTGTATCGAGCTTCGGAAGTTCTTGCGCTTGAATTCTGTAGGATAAAATGCACAAAACTCATGTCAGGTAACCTGTGAGTTCAATAACAAAAATCTGTTTTAATGAGTTTGTTTTCTGCTTATCAGTTAGTAGTTTAATACGGCCTCTATGAGCTCGCAATCAATGTTTGGTCTTCAGGACCGAGGATCCGGGGCGATTTTCTGAAGTAAAAGCTGTAAACTACTTATAAAATATTGTCACACCTTTTGTACCTGTTCCATTCCTCTTTCGTTTTAATGACGATCTTTTATTGATGCTTAGTTCTTGGCGTAGATTGCTAGAGAATCAAAAAATATTTGAAAACTATGAATATCCGTTGTCTGTATTGATAAACAAGGCATACGGACCAGCTTCAGTCTTGCACTTTCGAACCCACGAGCTACTGATGTTTAAATCGGAACGCAGCGACGTTCTTTTCGAGGACAGCATGCATATTAGAGGAAGAAGGCAGAGGCAGATCTTCTTTCCGAGTGAAAATTTTTCCTTCTGTTGTTCGGTTTCTGTTCCGTTCCGAGAGAAACCGTTACTGCAGTGCAATATCCGGTACGTTAGAGCAGAGAAAACTGGAAAGCTGAGAATATATTGGAGGTCATAAACCGGAGAGGCTCAGATATTACAAACGGCTCAACGTGATGATCCAAACTAACAACTGTTTATATGCCTAACTCAGTTTGACTTATTTACTTTTGTCATAATAAAGAATACAAGTTTCCATTTCTCACAGTAGGCAGATCAACTTTATCAGCAGCAGTTCTAAGCAGTTTCTTTGGAGGTAGGGTCATTTGGTTCTAAACGGGGTGAATGATCTTCAGAATGCTTCATTTCGATTCTCCACAGAATGTATTCTGTTCTGGTGTACGGTGCTCGTAATTTTTACAACTGGAAATGCTGACAATAGGAGTTGATCGGCGAAGATTGGCTTATCGTTTTAATTTTTTCAACGAATATCTCAAGCTCCTTGACGTAGTCACAGTTTTTCCAATAGTTTCACCTGGCATCCGATGATGTGTAACTACTGTTTAGACCAAGCGAGTAGCTATAGATTATGGGGCTACTTGAAAAAGTACAGTACCGTGCAGGCCATGGCTGAATCCAGCAACAAGTGCTAACAGACGTACTCATTTTGAAATTGCGAATTTAAACAGTGCGTATAATTTTGTCTTTAATAGGCCGTACATTTACTAAGTGAGCCTTCCAGATAAATTATTCGCTGTCAGTGAGAGCCAGTTGCCTTACGGGCTGTGGTGCTACTGAACAGATTCGGAATCAAATTGTGCAAAACTGCGCAGCTGGTACATAAATCTAATGGTCTTTGGAGAGCCTCGCGTTGTGCAAAACGCCGTCGGTGAACTTGCCCGCATGCAGCCCTAGATCATTGCCGTTTAACCATTTTTTAGCTCATCGGAAAAATGTTAAGTGATTAACGTGAACTCACGGTCCGAACACTGATTCAGTCCTAAAAGTCGCAAATCCGAAGACTTGTTTTCAAAACAGGACACACGCACAGTTCATTGGTCCTATTCTCGCTTCATTATATTAGGCCGAGCCTTTACTAGTACCGACTTCTCTGCTTGGTCTGCGAGATGGATTATAAATGTTTGATATTTCAGCGCATGTGAAAATATAGATAAAAACTTTACTAGTTTAATACAGAACAGGATAACTTCAGTAACCTGGTGGTGCAGAAGATGATTAATGCTCACTGTGGCGTAGCAACGGCAGAAACCCCGGTGTGTGATTTGTGTAGTTTTTTCTTCCGGTTTATTTTTCTCTGTGTTCTCTTCTCTGCTTCCAAAAATTTGCGCGTGCTCCAGTCGGCTTCTTGTCGAATTATTTTGCTAGAGTTCCATGATAGGGCTCGGTTCTTCTGATACTAGACTTCATTTTAGCGAACTTTTTTATTTGTATTGTCGATGCAGGTCATATGATGGCGTGTGATATTTCTAAGCTTTTCTTCTGTGTTTGAAATGTAGCAGTCTCGAAAGAACAGCTCATGCGGTATGAGAATTACAGCTTTTTCATGCTTCAGTAATCCGCAGTCATGTCATAAATTTTAGTTGCCCTCCTTGCTGTGATGAGTTGCATGCCGTTCTGATACCTTACCTGCTCGTTAAACGTTTCTTTTGCTCAGATTCTTGTGATAATGATTATGTCGACCGCTTTCAGCTCTTCTCTGGGCCGGACATGCTTTCTAATATCTGTTGCTTCTTTTTAGTTTGTGCACAACTTGATGTACGGTTACTGAAGTGGTTAGGGTGAATGCAGAGTTGCTTTCCGACACTCAGAACGATGTGTATTCTTCAGTCGTGATTGCTTAGGTTGTGTTAGTTACGCGTTTCGTTTAGGTTTCGACCTCATATAACTTGTTGAATTTGCATTTCAGAGCGATTTTATTGACATTTCAGTAATTACTATACGACTTAAACTGCGAGCAACGCGACTGAGATTTACGCGGTTAGGTTGCTGCCTCTTCATTATTGTGTCTGTATTCGTTACGGGAAATATGCATTACGCTGAAGATTTTCTGGTTTCAGCGATTCTACCGCCTTCGGCTGTATTCATGCTTGTATGCCAGTTTTCGACGACTCAACTAAACCTCCAAACATGATCGGTAGTTTGATGACGTACGTGGGTGATCACCAATGCACGGTTTGCCCTTCAAACTAGGCATACCGATCATTAGCAGCGATCGGACGTTTTCGATAGTTTATATCCTGTTAAGCACGACCGTTACCTTGTGGGCATGAAAATCGACTTGTGACGATATTAGGTAGTCAGACGAACGTGGCAACGTCGATGGACCTCGCTTTTGCGTTGTTCATCTTCATTGCACAGTGGTGCCGACCAGATCAATCTTCAGCCAAACCGCCTTCTGGAATTACGCGGCGTCGAAACTGCTAGTCATTGACTTGTCACGACGAGCGTCTGCTGTGTAGGCTGTAAAATGAGGTGAAAGGTTTCAGACGGAATTTTCGAGATCCAGCCTTCTTTTAATGTTTTGTACAATATAGAGAACGTTAGGGAACTGAAATGATAACGGCGTTCGAAAAAGAAACTTTTTTTTCATTTGCGTAGTATGTACTTATTAATTATTCAGAATGCTGAATTTGGATCACATGGCGAATATAAAATGGCTTGCAGTTTCTATGCGGCTAAAGATTATGGGACGCTATCGCTAAGAATGTGGATTAACGTCCTAATGTACTCTGTGCTTATGCTTATTAATTAGCCATAACACCGCCTTTCATGTCCACTTTGCATTCTGTCGCTAACGGATTGCTTGAAACAGATTTTGCTTTTATCATTTCTGGCATGGTGCACTTTAACTTGTGAAGGGGTTTTTAAGGAAGTATTTTCTGTGGTGGATGGACAGCAGAAAACAATAGACAGGACAAGCATCATTTGTTGCACTTGGAAAAATAAGCGCCGTTCTAATCCGGCGAAAGAATAATGTTTTCAACAACATATCTGCCATGTTGGTGTAAACATATTCCA